TGGTTCTGGTGCTCTGGCACAAGGGAGTGAGCGCACCTCCTTCTACTCCGCCATCTTGAACTAGTCCTCTATACATTTTTCCTAAGTCCACTAGGGGGCAATACTGCTCTTGGCTTTCTAGAAAGTGTCACCACCTGTCCCTGCAGATATTTGCTATCTCAGCTCAGAACCAGAAAGCCAACACTGCCAAAAACTGAGGTGCAGTTAGGGCATTCTAGGACCACCTGCGCCTCTGGAAACATTCTCGGTCCCCTCATTGGCCCCAGAAATTCTGTTACTAAACTGGACGGCACAGAGGTGCCGACATGCCTGTCCACCACCCACGGATTTGTCTAAGTGCTGCAAGAAGCCCTCATGTTCTATAAATCGACCACAAAATCATCCATAATAAGAAAAAAAAAATGAATAATGTTACTAATAAATACTAATAAAATAATGATGAATGTTACTAATAAAATACTAATAAATAATGACTAACAATGACAATAAAAATTGAGGGCCATCATAAAGATAATAATAATACCACCACTATTAATGAGAATCAAAATAAACCTTAAGGTAATGGGAGATTAGAGTACAGACTCTCCTGTATGACTGACCAGGTACTAATTTCTGGCCTCATGGGATATTTTGGCTTCAGAGTCCAAGGTCTGCACAAAGAGAAAAGAAAATAAGGCAGAATGTAGCAGGAAAAGAGAATACAAAAACAAGGACGAGGAGGACACAGGTGACCTTGGGAACTCTGGCACAAACCCCGGAGGACAAATCTCACAGGGATGTCCTAAGGGACAGAGATAGAGGGACTTCGGTCCTGAGCCTGCCCACCCCTCCACACCCACTGATTTCAGAAGTTCTACCCCAGCAACTGCAGGCGAGGAACGCAGGACCACAGACCCACAGTCGGAGCGCAAGCCCCAGCTACACCCACCGGAAGCCCCAGCCTCGCCTCAGCCCTCACACCTGCATGCCCTCTGCCAGCTCTTCCTCCAGAACCCTGGGGTCCAGACAGCTGGCTGCCGTGTATCTCAGAGGCGGGGTACAGGAAGGTGTCAGTGACAGCTGTTTCTGGACCAGCAGGGGGCGGCATAGGCCAACAAGTGGTTCTAGAACTCCCGGAGCAGCTGGCTTGCTCAGGCTGAGGGTCACCACCCGCCACGCCTCTCAGTCCAGCACCATTTCCAGGTAAGCGCTGTTACCATTTACTTAGGCACTCAGATTAAACTTACTGGATGACTCACATGTGCCCACTTTCATTATAAACGTCATCATGGCCCTATACTTCGTCTCTCAAACATTCTCCATCCTCTCTCTCTGTACACTCACATTGTTTTAGTCTGGAGCCTCATCTAGGGTCTATTACTGCAACAGCCTTCTTCCAGATAGATTGCTCTGTCAATTTAGTTACTTGTCCTGGCCAATTCCGGAGTTGTTTTTATAAAATTGGAATCTAATTTTGCACAGATTAAGGTGTGCGCTTCACCTTTCTGTGCTGCACACAGGCAGGTGTGCGCGTGCGCACACACACAAAATGTTGGTGTCAGTCATAAAAGCCAAGCCTGAGTTTTATTCTAAGACAAGAACACTTAGGATACTCTAATATAAGAGCTAGAAAGAAGCTGAGAGGTGATCTAAGTTGATATTTTCCACTGAGTATTCCAGAATCCATTTCAGAATCGGTTCCTGGGAAATTCGTTAAAAATGCAGACTTCTAGGCATTAGAAGGCGTACCTAGCCTTGTAGGCACCCTACCAAACTAACATTGCCTGGAGTGGATCGACGTGTCCGCATTTTGAAGCAACTTTCCCAGTCGTTTTTATGCATAATGACTGAGTGTCTCCTGATTGCGACCCAACAGATCTAGGTCTGTACGGGCGCTACTGAGATTCAAGGGGAATGGCCCTCCTGCCGATGTCTGGACCTCCGGGGAGAAGCAGGCCTAGAGACCCCCTGCCTTCACGTTCAGAGGCATCTGGCTGCCCTGCCAGTGTTGTATGCACTTGATGTGCTATTGAGAGTAAACGACCACAGGATTCAACTTCCTCCTCAGCCCTGAGGGGCAAAGTCTGGTCTTAACAACAGGGAGCTCACACCTTATTGGGAGGTAAGCGTCTGTTAAGCAAACTAACATACGTGTGGTCAGTATATCCTGAGCAGAGCACTGTGGGCTTTCGGACCAGGAGTGAGTGGGGCGATTAATCACGGGGAGGGCTAGCAAAGCCTGGGAAGTGCTCACTGACACAATGTCTAGTCACTAACTAAACCAGCAGGTTTCTGTACACAGCCTGACTCCTCGTAACTGAATATAGATAGCTCTTCGCTCGCACACCTTACCTGGAGCCAAAGTGTCTGTAGCTTATGTTCCCATTTAACAGGGCTTTCTGGTCAAAAGTGTGCGCCCACATCTCCCTAATGAACTGAGCGTCCAGCAAAACAAGGATTCTCAGCCTTCTTGCAAAGGCCATTCTGTGCGCATAGAACGCTTCTGTCCACAAGTACCCTGATGAGGTACAGGAGGGCACTTGATATCCGGCCAAAGACATTCTGCCGGTGCCAGGGAGCCGCAGACGGAAGTTTTCTCTGCCTCTTGGAAATGAAGCCAAGCTTTCTCCTCTCTCCAGCCACGAGGACTGCTGTTCCCTGGCTTACCATTCTCTCCTTTATGGGCCAAGTCCCACCAGGTAACAAAACAAACTCTGCTGAAGCTTTGGTAAGAGTAGGGTGCCTGAGGCCTTACAGGGGTCCAGTGTTCACAGAAACATCCGCACCACCTCTGCCCTGAGCAGGGGTCTCGCGGGAAACCTGAGAAGTCCTGCAGCCACTGGCTCAGTAGTTCTCCACAGCAGCTCTCAGTTAGATGACATCAAGTCAAGGGCGTTTCAAGCGCTTGAAACCCTCTTTGTTCCAGCACTGAAGATGAATTATTTAGGCAAATTTACTAGCAGTTTCTAGATCTAGGTAACAAAAAAATGAGGCATTATTCTACTAAATCTTGGTCTCCAAAACTCCTCTACTTTCAGCAAAAATTAGCATCCTAAGATACTGATATAAGAGCCATGCCAAAGCTATAGGGGCAGAGGGATTGGTCGGGGTGGGGTGGGGTCTCCTTGAAAGGCTTGCCCTGAGTCCGAGAGACCTCCAACCCGCTGCCCCGCCCAGCCTTGATGATGCCCCTGAAGGCTCCATGCCAACCTCGGGCTATCCTCTTCCTTTTCAACATCTGTTCTCCTAAAGTAGAACTTTAAACACAGGGGTCAGGGCGGCACTGCAGTGAGTGCACCCCCCGCATTCTGCAGGCGGACGTGGGCCACAGGTGCAGGCACAGACGTATATCTCCGGGACGTGTAGATCTAAGGAGGGATGAGCGACTTACTGCTCTACATCAAGAGGATTGTCTTACCTTTTCCTGAGAATTCAGGGTCTCAAGGGTTGGGAAGGAGTAGGAAAGTAGACAGATGCGTGATTGGGGACAGTCCTCATATAAGGAGCGGTAGTCTACTTAATCCCAGCCCTGTTATTCCTCTCAAATTCCTTGCGGAGTGTGGGGTAGTGGATATATTTCACTATATTCTGCATTCACACACGCAGAATATTACTATTCTGGTTACAGGTAAAAACGCAGATGAAAACCTTGAATAGACAGCCTCAAACACTTAGGACTAATGTGATCCCATGATTTTCCTTCCAAAGCCTGCTCTGACCATGAGATCCTTCAAGGCTTAGTGCCTTAAGCTTTCAACCCCTGCGATGCTTCTTTTGTCTTTCTTTCAGTCGTGCTTTCTCTCTGGCTCTCACTTACGAAGCCTCTCCCTCATCCTTGTGCCAGTACTCTATGTTGAGGGCTAGTTGACTCTTCCCCGGACTATCTAGCAGCCAAGGTTACTGGCCTATGATTTCTTGGAGGTCGAAGGCCATCGGATCTTTTTTTCTTTGTATGCCTGCTTCCCAGTAAGGGCCTCACATTCAGTGGATGCTTAACAAATATCCATTAATGATTGCCTTGTGAACAGTAAAGAGTTAAATTCAAGTTAATGCATTTGATTTTCGGCTGAATTCAATGGACTTTTGTTGAATGTCCATGAATGCCCTATACTGATCTGAAGCTATTCAAGAATTGGCTTTTATGATCCAGAATAGGAAAATCTAGAAGTGTTGGTTTGGAGACCTCTCTTAATGTCAGCAAAGAGCTTAAGAAGCTGTCAGGGGAAAGGTGCACTTTGTGACATACAGGGACGGCTCAGAATCAAGCCACTTTCGAAACTGAGCCCCTCATTGTGTATGACCCCACCCCCGAGCACTAATATATTAGGACGTAAGTCAAATACTATTCAATGCTTTTAACAAGGATGCTTGTTTAGCCTTTAAGAATCTTAACGTATGCAGTGATTCCTGCAGCAGATTGCAACCTCAAAGACCAGAGCCAGGGAGAGAGGCAGTGAGCGCAGCTCCAGGATGCAAGAGATACTGACATGGGCACTGTTTGCATGTTACATATGTAGGAATATTGTTCCCTTCCCCCGGAAAAATATCCTGTCTAATAATTTCCTTGATGTACATTATCCTTTGGATCTGTATTTCAGTTCCACTTTTGAAAGACACACATACACGCACACATATAGAAAGAGAGATATCTCTAAAAAGTTTCTTCTACTCTAGGAAAACCAGCAGTAGAAGACTAATATTAAATAAAAACTGACCTCTGTCATCGGTGTTAGCAGATAATAAGGATCGAGAAAGACCCAGAAGAGCTGGGGCATGTGTGCCCTGGCGTGGGGGCAGGGCTGCCCACGGCTAGCCTTTCGTTACTCAGATGCACTCAATATTGTCCGATTTTACAGCAATGCCCCAAATCCAAATTTTTGTGTGAAAGCAGATTTTTAAGAAATCAAGTAACAATGAAAAATCCACACAAGATTGTTTCCAGATACTCCCTCCTCCCATGTAGTTCAATAAAAATTCAGGGACACCAGGAAATAGCTACCACAACTCTCTTCTCTGTGCAGGCAGGGCCGGTTTCAAGGAAGTCTGTGAGCGTTCCAAACGGCTCCTGCCAGGAATTCTGCATCGACTCAGAAATCCAGGCTGGGAGACGTGTGGATGGCCGACCATACCGTCTGCCCATGGTGCACGTGCCTGAAGTCGACCCTGCTACACCCAAGGAGCACTGACGCCCTTCTTTAGTTGTTTGTTTGTTTGCATGTTTTATTCTCACTCTCTCGTTCGCTTTTGCTCTCGCCTCTCTTTCTGTCTTTGTTCTCACAGGGATTCTTAGTGAGTTCTCAATAAATAAAAAAAACAAAACTTGCAAACACAAAACCTATTTTAGGAATTCGTACGATGTATTTTCACTTGGTCGTGGTTTGGTCTCCATCTTTCTATACGGCCTGGATGACCTCCAGGTTGGGTGGGGGGCCTTTTTTCTTACCTACGGTTTTTGCCTGGCCCGGGCAGCCCTCCACCCTTCATCTGGGGACACTACTCGCCTTCCCCACTTGGAAAATGCACGACTTCATTCCATGCAGCCTTGTGGGGTCTCCCTCCCTCTCAAAAGGGCCGATCACAGGAAACCTGCATAATTGAATTTCCCAGACTTCGCCAGCAAGCTGAGTGTGGACAGAGCAACACCCCGATAAAAGACAATTCTCACACCCTTTTCAAAGCCAGTCCTCCGGGTTCCCTTTTTTCCACATTCTCACCAACACGTCTTCTCTTTTATCTTTTGACAACAGCCATCCTAACAGGTGTGGGATGGTATCTCACTGTGGTTTTGACTTGCATTTCCCTGATGAATAGTAATGTTGAGCAATTTTTCACATACGGATTAGCCTTTTGTATGACTTCTTTGGAAAAACGTCTATTCTGGTCCTTTGCCTGATTTTTTAATATACATATTTATCACAAAATGGTTACCACAATAAGGTTATCTAACACTTCCATCACCTCAGATAGTTAGAATTTTTTTGTGTGTGGTGCAAACTTTTTTTTTTTTTTTTGCGGTACGTGGGCCTCTCACTGTTGTGGCCTCTCCCGTTGCAGAGCACAGGCTCAGCGGCCATGGCTCACGGGCCCAGCCACTCCGCAGCATGTGGGATCCTCCCGGACTGGGGCACGAACCCGTGTCCCCTGCATCGGCAGGCGGACTCTCAACCACTGAACCACCAGGGAAGCCCGGTGCAAACTTTTAAGATCTACTCTCTTATCAACTTTCAGTTACACAATAAATTACTTACTGTTAACTATATATACCAGGCTGTATATTAGATCTCCAGAACTTATTCATCTTACAGCTGGAAGCTTGTACCTTTTGACCACCTTCACCCATTCACCCCAACCTCACTCCCTGCAACCACCAATCTACCTGCGATTTCTATGAGTTTGGATTTTTTTTAGATTCCACATATAAATGAGATCATATGGTATTTGTCTTTCTCTGTCTGACTTACTTCAGTTAGCATATGTTCTCAAAGTTCGTCTACGTTGCTGCAAATGATAGGATTTCCTTCTTTTTTTTCATAACTGAACAATATTCCATTCTGTGTGTATGTATATGTCCAATGCATGTTTCCCAACACCATTTATTAAAGAGACTATCATTTCCCCATTGAGGAGTCTTGACTCCCTTGTCAAATATTAGTTGACCATATATATGCGGGTTCATTTCTAGGCTCTTGATTCTATTCTATCGGTCTACGTGTTTGTTTTATGCCAATAACATGCTGTTTTGATTAATATAGCTTTGTAATACAGTTTAAAATTAGGAAGTTGTGATGCTCCAGCTTTGTTCTTCTAGCTGATGGCTTTGGCTATTCAGGTTCTGCTGTGGTTCTATATGAACTTTAGAATTTTTTTTTTCTTTTTCTGTGAAAAATGCCATTGGAATTTTGATGGGAATTGCACAAAATTTGTAGATTGCTTTCAGTAGCATGGATATTTTAAGAATATTAATTATTCTGGGACATCTTTTCATTTATTTCTATCTTCTTCAGTTTCTTTCATTGTTGTCTTATATTTTCAGTGTATAGGTATTTCAATTCTTTGGTTAAATTTACTCATAAGTCTTTTATTGTTTTTGATGTTATCACAAATAAAATTGTTTTCTTAATTTTTCAGATAGTTCATTTTTAACATATAGAAATGCAACTAAGTTTTGTATGTTGATTTTGTATCCTGAAACTTTACTTAATTCATTTATTAGTTCTAACAGTTATTCATGGAGTCTTTTAGGGTTTTCCATATATAAGGTTATTTCATGTGCAAAGACTATTTTAAAAATAAAACTACCATGTGATACAATAATTCTGCTTCTGGGGTTTATTTTAAGGAAACAGAAACACTAACTCAGAAATATATTTGCACCCCCATGTTCATTGCATTATTCACAATAATCAAGACATGGAAAAAACCTTTGTCCACTTATAGATGAATGAATAAGGAAAATGTGATACACATTATATATATGATGAAATATTATTAAGCCATAAAAAAGAATGAAATCCTACCATTTGTGGCAACATGGATGGACCTTGATGGCATTATGCTATGTGCAATAAGTTAAATACTGTATGATCTCATTTATATGTGGAATCCAAAAGAAAAATCAAACCAAAAAAACAACAAACTCATAGATACAAAGAACAGACTGGTTGTCACTAGAGTCAAGGGGTTGGGGGTGGGTAAAAAGGGTGAAACGGTCAAAAGATACAAACTTCCAGTTATAAAATAAATAAGTCCTAGGGCTTCCCTGGTGGCGCAGTGGTTGAGAGTCCGCCTGCCGATGCAGGGGACATGGGTTCGTGCCCCGGTCCGGGAGGATCCCACGTGCCGCGGAGCGGCTGGGCCCGTGGGCCATGGCCGCTGAGCCTGTGCATCCGGAGCCTGTGCTCTGCAACAGGAGAGGCCACAACAGTGAGAAGCCCGTGTAACGCAAAAATAAATAAATAAATAAATAAATAAGTCCTAGGGACGTAACGTACAGCATGGGTGACTATAGCTAATAATACTGTACTGCATGCTTGATAAGAGAGTAGATAAGTTGATAAGAGAGTAGATCTTAAAGTTCTCATCACAAGGAAAAAGTTTGTAGCCATGCATTGTGATGGATATTAATTAGACTTATTGTGGTGATCGCTTCCCAATATATACATATATTGAATCATTATGTTGTATACCTGAAATATAATGTTGTATGTCAATTACATCTCAGTAAAAAATCATTTCTTTTTCAGTAATCAATAAAATAAGAGGACAAAAATTCAGTAAGTATATAAAAGACCTGGACAATACTAACAACAAACTTAATCTAATTAATATTGTTTAAAAACTTCCCACAACAACAGCAGAATAAACATTCTTTCTAAGTGTGCACTTACCAATATAAACTGTATTCTGGGCCACAAAACAAGTCTTGATAGACATAAAATTATCCAAATCATATAAAATATGCTCTGTGACTTTAATAGAATTAAACCAGAAATCAACACTCAGTACCTAGAAAATTCCCATATATTTGGAAATTAAACAACACACTTCTGGATAAAAATGAATAAACATTTGAATTGAGTAAAAATAAAAATACAACATAACAAACTGTGTGGAATAAAGCTCCAGTAGCATTTTGAAATAAATGTATAGTATCCAAATGCTTATATCATCAAAGAAGAGCAAATTAAATCTAAAACAAGAAAAGCAGGAGATTAATGTAAATAATAAAAGAAGTTAAACAGAAAATCAATAGAGAACAAAAAAGAAATCAAAAATTGGTTCTTTGAAAAGATGAATAAAATTTATAAATGTCTTACCATTTTGATCTGAGAGAGACAGCCAAAAAGAACACAGATTACCAATGCCAGCCATGAAAGAAAGGACATCATATCCTACAGATATAAGATGAATAACCAGGCATTATTAGGCATAACCATATGTCCATAAATCCAACAAGATCAATGAAAATAGGCAAATTCTTTTAAAGAAACAAACTAACAAAACTCACTTAAGAAGAAATAAATAAGAAAGAAGAAAGACAAACTATAGGGACAGAAAGATAAGACATTGTCAGGGGCTAGGAACAGGAGACGTTGACCACAAAAGGATGTGAGGGGAATTTTGTAGGTAATAGAACTGTTCTATGTATTGATTGTGGTGTTGGTTATACAACTATATGGATTTTTAAAATCTCATAGAATTGAGCTAATTTTTAAGGAATAAAATTCAGATGTCTGTTGTGTAAGACATCTCAATAAATCTGACTTAAAAGACAGTACAAATATCAATTCTGTTCCTGTCTTCTGCTTTTATTGCTCCCTTTATCTGACTTCTAATAGCTTGTGTCTTCTTTTCATTAAGCTTGAATGTCAGGATAGAGTTCACTTACAAGAACCTGCTATATTTCTCCACCCAGAACACGGCCTTCCAGAGTAACCACAGCTTCCACCCCCATACCTTTCCTGTACCTTTGAGGCCTGGCACCACTACAGGGACAGGTAAAAATCTGGAGGAGGTCCAGTCATGCAGAAAAGCCTACATCACCCTCTCTTATAGTTCAAAGTATAAAACAGTGGGCACTGATACTGGGCAATGGAAAATAATCCCCTCTGACTCTGCTCCCGATATATTCATATAACCCAAACTGTTTCCTGGGTTCATTCAATGTCAGCTACCACCTGATGACCCTACAGCCAAAACTTAGCCCTAAGGATTGGTCCAAATGGCTAGAAGAAAAACAAACCCTGCATGAGGATATAGATGCTATAAGCCAGAGTTCTCAACTGGAGATGCTTTTGCCCCTGGCACATAATTGGCAATATCTAGAGATACTTTCAGTTGTGATAACCAGAAATATGCTACTGGCACCTAGTGGATAGAGACCAAGGATGTTACTAAACATCCTACAATGACAGAAATGACCTTCAAGACAAAGAATTACCTGACCCAAAATGTCAGTAGTGCTGAGATTGAAAAAACTCTGCTACAGGCTTTGACACAATGGTAAGAACCAAAACCCAGAAGAGGATAAATATCTTGTCTCAAGAGCATGTTGTAGCCTTCCTAGGAAAGCCCTAAATAGGTGTGAGGCATCCACCCACTCCCATAACTATTCTTCAGAATGGTGTGCGTTTAATTCATGGACATGCAGCATGTGAAAGTAATTCTCAGACACTCGAGCATAATT